CCCAAAACCACTCTTTTCAATACATATTTAACATAACATATCGAGCCCTTTATTAATAATAATAATAAAAAAAAGATGTTTCTAATGAATTACCTTTTGTTTATAAATATATTAATTGAAAAAAAATTATTATACATACAATATATTATTATCCATGTTTCTAATGAATTACCTTTTTTTAATTAATATTAAAAAAAATTATTATTGTTATAAAGATAAATATAATTTATTTTTTATACATACAATATGGATGGTAAATCGAAGTTCATCAAGGGATGATTAATTTGATATATTATATATGTAAAACTGATAAAAAAATATAAAAGTTATTAACTTTGGCAAAGAATAAACAAAAATATATTATAGTATTAAGCAAAAAATCCTATTTACGCATATAAAGAAAAAAACATCTGATTGGTAAATTTTGTGGTTCAATATGGATAGTTTCACACCGATTTTGGCAACGATTAAGCAAAAATATATTATAATATTGAACAAAAAATCCTATTTACACGACATATAAGAATCATATTTATTTTGAAGTTGGAGGGGATCGGATTAAGCAAAAACAATTTTTATCCGAACCAAAAGCCGAAGTATTTAATGTTGCCATGTGCGAGCCAGCCATTTAGGCTCAGCACGTTCTGAAATTATATTTATGTATATATTATAATATTAAACAAAAAATCCTATTTACACGGCATATAAGAATCCTATTTATTTTAAAGTTGGAAGAGATCGGATTAAGCAAAAATAATTTTTATCCGAACCAAAAGCCGAAGTATGTAATGTTGCCAAGTAAGCTTTCGAAGTGTGCAAGCCAATCATTTAGGCTCAGCAAGTTTTGAAATTATATTAAAAAGGGGATAAGGGGAGGGGGATAACACAAGTGGATGAAATAACTCAAACACCACATTTTGTATATGCTTGACATTAATTTAAATAAGGTTGAAATTTAGGCACTTGAATTCTAGATCAGGAAGAGATTTTTTAGTTTCCCCTGCCAAATGGAACAAGTGTGACTGTTAATTTTCTGTTGAAAACTCATTTCAATTACGGAAATTTCCATTCAATTTCCATCGGTCAGAAATGCAGTCTTCCACATAGTTCAAAATAGTTTTTCTTAAAATAAAAGAAAAATAAAGAAAATAAAAATGTACGTCGCAACTATTTTCAATTGTGACCATGAAACATCGTTTTATTTTCTATGTTCATAAAATTAGAGCCTGGCGTGTGTGGTATAGAATTTATATAGCATGTGATGGAAAAACCAAGAGATTTAATAGATATTATTACCGATCCCAACTAACACGTGAAATCAAATTTATTTGGTCGACATTCATTTTATTTTATTTATTTATTTATTTATTTTTTGAATATTAATGTTCTCTAATTAGAGCCATATAAGGTATTTTATGTTTTGGGGTGACCTGAGACCACCATACGTGATTCTAATGAACACTTTTTGATAAGTGATAGTTTGGTTATTTGGTGAAGAAAGACAAGGATATTTGAACAACTTAATTAGTTGATTAATTTTGATATGTGACAAGGTCAAAATGGCTGTTTNATTAATTAGCCACATAACTAACTATATTAACATTTCCTTTAAGTACAAATGCAAGTTGGATTAAGCCTTGTGGATTATATTGATTGTACAAAGCTAAAGTACAAAATTTGATGTGATTGATCAAGAAAATTATGTCAATATTAGGTTGTCTCAAATTTTCATCTTTACATATTAGTTTAAAACTATATTAAAGATCCATATATAAGATCACTATCACGGAAATAAAAATTAACAGGAAGTAAAAATGTGGTGTTTTTCTCTCGTTTTCTTTAATCAGTTTTATATAAAATCAGCACATATATCGTTGTTAATTTATGCAATTTTAGTTAATAAATGTTATCTATAAAATCAGCTCATAAATCAACTGCAGAGGTGTTAAAACATACTCCCTCATATTTTTATTATTTGTCATCCCAGCTTAATTGATCATTTGTTAAATAAATGTATATTTTTTCATCATTACCCTCATCTAACTAATAAATACACTACGTCTTTTCATATTCACTCTCCATCTTTTCTCAAAACGTCAATCTCTATTCTTATTAATGAAGGTTATTATTCGCAAAAAAAAATATTTTTAATTATTGTGCAACTTCTCAAAACGACATTTATTCAAAATAGGAGGGAGTATCAAATCGAGCTCCAGTTCTTGAAACTCGAGCTCTGACTCTTTAAGTTAACAAGGCCTTGATGAGATTGGGAGTTGGGCATGATTGGTTAACTAGCCGAATTTTAGTATTAACGAGCTGATATATGATAAAAGTCCAATAAATTATGTAAAATTCTTACTTATCAGGTCTAATAATTCGAGTCGAGACTAACTTGTTAACTAACAAATTCAACCACCAAATAACCGAGCCGAACCAAACTCATTGGTGACTCGATTTGTTTTGCAACTTTAATTTAATTTGTCAATTCGTTCCAATTTACTATAAAGCTGGTTTCTATTTTTTTTTTAAAAGCAATAAATGCTACAGTATTTTCATCATTAGTTTATTATCCGACTAGCCCCGATCAATATCTACTTTATTGGAAGTCAATTCCACAATTTCAGCTAATTAATTTTACAAATATTTCTATTACTTTAATTTATCATCCCAATTGACACAGTAAGCAAATGAAATATATAAAAATTTTGCAAGTCAATAAACTTAAACTTTTGCCAGCAATTAATGTTGGCCGTACGTATTTGAAGAAGGCCATCAACATCCCGTTGAAGTAACATTCATGAATTCCAGAATAAAAACTAGTGACGCACTGACCTATAAATAAATATTTTATTCAATGAATTTAATATTCATTTAGTCACTTTCTTCCTACTTTTAGTTTTAAATAAATTAAATAGTGAAATCAGCACAAGAAACTGTATTACTTTAAAATTAGAATGCAAACCTTTGATGAACTGAAAATAATGTATATATTATATATAACATTAATTCTTATACAATTCTGTTGATTTTAATCAATAAATTTAAATATTATGCATATGTACAGCAGAAAGATTTTAGATCTGATTAACATTGTTCATTTTGCTTTTTGTATTCAGGCTCAGTCCAGGCATAAAATTGTTCTTTTAGTTAAAATAGACTCCAAGTGTTCTTAGTTCTTACCGTTTTCTTTTGTTTTATTTTTATAGCTTATAAAGTCAATTGGTCAAATTTTGCATCTAATTTATGTTCCTATTTACATACACACATGAAAAGTTTTCACCCAAAATTACATATTATTTTTAAGTATTACACATATCTGCTTACGTCCCGAAAATCTCATATGCATGCCAACATGTCATCAAGTAAAATAATATTGTGAAATGTCAACTTATTTCAATTTTATTAATTCCCCCATTGAACTGTTGTTTGATCAAAATTGAGAATGGAAGAATTCAAATATTTTGTTCACTTTTCAAAAAGATCCAATTAATATAATTTTTTTTTTTGTTCAATCAGCATTCAAATATTATTTTGCCATTTAAAAAAAAAAAAAAAAAATCTCAAGCATCA